GACAGATGTTCACTGTCTGACAAGGACAAGTATGGACAGATGTCCACCATATAACATATTTATTATTAACATTAATAACTTCATATGTAGCTGAACAGAAGAAACGACTCGTCACGTCTTGTAGCTAAACTTTGGCTGCAAAGAGTTTTAACGTCTTTCTTCTTCCTGCGAGGATCTGGTGCCTGAAGAGAATCCACATGGAAACACGGAGAGCAGATATTAAAATTAAAATATGCAGAAAACATCAAATGTTGGTTTATTTTTAATTAAAAGTTTGTGTTTAATGAGCCTTTAGTTTCTAAAACCATCTACAGTTTTCTGACAAATGAGCCTCAACACTTTGCTTTTATATATATATTTTTTTTTTAAATAAAACATAAAAAGTTTGGATGTTGTGTAAAATGTGACTAATGAGCGAAAACTGAATGTTTAACGTTGTATAATGTTGTAAAATGCACATGAGCAGTCAGTGTCTAACCTGCAGCAGACAACATTCAGAGCCAGCTCAGTTTGGTCACTCAGGTGTTTTATCCTTTGGTCAAACAGCAACGATCGAGAAGCTGCTCCACACGACCGAAGCCGCTCAGAAGTTACATTTCAGTGGAAAGATTGATGTTCTCGCACAAGCTGCTTGTTGTTCAAGGTAAATAATGAGATGCAGCACAGCTTTCTTTTACAGAAGTTTGCAGATGGACACAGAGAGGGGTGGCACATGGAGAACACGTGACTCACCAAACATGCTGAGGTCAGGTGTTAGATGTTCGTCCAGAGTCTTCAGATCTGCTGCCGTGGTCGGTCCAGAAGAAACCAGACCTGATTCTTCAGATTTGCTCAGAACTCTGACAGTTCAACGTGACGAGCCGCTCGCTTCAACAAACACGACGTGCACAGGATTTAGGTCTCTGCAGCATGAAAGCATCAACTTGGTGTTGTTTGTAGAAAAATAAAAATCTCCTTCACACAAATCTCTGACATACATTTAAACACGTGCATGTGACATCCTGCAGGAGTTATAAACAAACAAATAAAGCGAATGTTTACTTGAATGAATGCAAATCTTTTTATAACAGAGTGAATCTAAAATGGCCGCCAAGGCCACATCTCACAAGTTGCATTAAGGGTCAGAGTCTCTGTTGGGGACGACTCTCAGCTACCACCACCATAATACACCACTGCTGTTTAATACACCACATTATTTACAGTTTAGTGTATATTTGAGATCCTTATTTGTTGTTTATTTATACTTTTTGCTAGTTTTGTGTATAACTGGGACCCTGAGTACACAGTTTTGTTCCGCCTCATGTACCACATGTGGTGAAATGACAATAAAGACACTTGAACTTGAACCAGTTTTACTTCAGTTTCTGTAAAAATGGCTGCGTTGAAGCCATTTTTGTGTTTAATGTCAGTTGGCTGTGGCCCCCAGTGGTGAATGAGATATTTTGCTAACAGACAGAATCAGTCACTCACACTGCATGGCTGCCTGCCTTTCATGATGGCGAGTGACTGAATTAATGTCCAGTCGTGCTCGGCGTGGCCGCTTCTGGAGATCGTTTCTTCGTTCTGTTTGTCAGCTGCTGATGACATCATCGTAAAAATGGACAGAACAAATAAAGTTCTCTAAGTCCAGATATTGTCTTCCACAGTCGTCCTTGCTGTCTCCCCTCTCAGGACAAAGAGGCTGCAGGAACTCTTCATACACTATTTATACGTGAAAGTTCCAGCAAAGGTCAAAAGTTAAATCACCGGAGAAATGACCGTTTCATGAAGTGAGCGAAACGTTTCCAGGCAGCGAGATCCTGAGGCGGAGTGGTTTACGGTTCCACGGTTCTCAGACGATGTTCCTTCCTCTTGTTTATTTATTAACCTTTCCCCCTGAGATCACAGATCTCTTTTGTAAGGGAGACCTGGGCCTGAAGGCAGCTAACATGCATGTTTTGGTCTGTGCAGAAACCAGAGTGCCCGGACAAAACCCACGCAGCACGGAGAGAACATGCAGACTCCACACAGAAAGACCCCAGGTCCAACCGGGGACTGAACCCAGGACCTTCTTGCTGTGAGGCAACAGTGCTAAACAGTTGTTCTGTTTTTCTGGCTGCGTCAGGACCAACAGACGAGCCGAAGATGTTCACCTGACACGAGGCGAAACCGAACCCTCGGCTGCTTAAAACGCACTGAATCAACGCCATGTTCTGAAACTGAGACAGATCTGATGAAACGTGTGGACGTTACACACAAAACAACAAAACAAAAGCTGTCGGCATCAAAGCGTGAAGGACCAGGAAGGACACGGCACCGAGAGGCCGAGGGAAACCAGACGTGGCACGAACAACAACAACGCTCCACTGAAGGAGAAGTGACGTCAGACAGATGATGAGAGGACCACAGCTGGAGCCAGCAGGTGCAGGTGGGCGTGGCAGGACTGAGGAGCAGCAGGGAAACAAAACACAAGAAAAACAACAACATTACGATGGAAATCAACAACAACAACAAACACAAACAAAATCTGGTCCTGACCCAGGGACGAGCTCCACGTTCAGTTCTAGGACTTTGCTGAAATCAGCTGAAACTGAGCTGCTGAAGCTCAAAGCAGCAGAACTCCTTCTAGCAGTTTCCTTAGTGTTTGGATGTGACAGATGTGAGACCTGCTCAGGTTTACGGACCGGACCCGCTCCCTCTTCAGAACTTTTCATTGTTTTTTAATTTTCACCATTTTCTCCTTGTTGTCGTGTTTTCTGTGACATTCATCCCCACCAAGTGCAATTAACAGCTTATTTTTTAAACCCCACGTGCACGAACCAATGACGTGACCTGCACTGTTACCATGGAGACCAGCAGAGCATCAGCGAGGACAACAAAAGTGTAAAATTAAATTAAACCTCTTCAGGTGTTCAAACTCCAGATTTATATCTGCTGTTAGAATCAGAATGTGTTTTCATGCAGAACTGAGTCAAATGTGAAATCAATCCATCAGAAACATTAGTCGTTATCGATCCGCATCGAGTCTGGAGGAAACAGGAAGCTGACCGTGGCTGCTGCATGGCTTTTCAAAACAAAAGCCTTAATCACGCAGAAGGACACACATCGAGCACTTACTGTATCATGGATGTTATAAAAACGGAATTAATTAAATATGTATTACTTAAAATTATCTATTAAACTCTAAGCCAAAAGCTCTTATTTGAGTCAAATACCTCCAAAGACATTTTGTAAAAATAAAAGCACCAAAAAAACTAGGTTATGTACTGAGTTTTATGTCTTAATTTTACTTCTTACTTATTGAGTTTCTTGTTTTTAAGATGTACTTATTTATTATTGTATTTTATGTCTTCATAAACTTGTTTATTTTTTACACTTAAACTGAAAACGTCACGGTTCACCAGAGTTCAGTAAAACTCTGCAGCTGCATTTCAAACCCCTGAGCTCAGGTCTGAAGCTGACCCCAAACATTTGGACATTTTTAAATTGTATTTTCTTTTTCTTTAGCTGCTAAAAGATTTTGTCGAAAGGGTCAAAGTCAAAGAGCGGTCAACAGTTTATCAATGATGGAAGGATTTCTGCAGAATAAAAATACTGATGAGAAGATTCAGTCTCTTTTTAAATCTTTCATTTTGTTTGGACTCTTTTGTTTTGAGAAAGAAACTTTGCTCTCAAAGCTGCTTAAAGTTAAAAACTAATTTATTCCTGCAATTCTGAACTTTGCATCCTGACGAAATTAAAAATAAAATATAAAACAGCCGAACTCTCCAGATAATCTGAAGAATTAAGAAATGAAAAATAAACAGACTTTTTTTTTACATTTTATTATATGTATATATATATAT